TCTAGGGCCACATGCTGCTTGGCTATAGATGCCAATCAAAAGCACTCCTTGCAGCTCATTCACTATAACCACCATCTCTTCATTCATTCAAACAACATCTGAGTATGTAACATAGCACTAAATATGGGGAGGACAAAGGTAGCTCTGCCTGCTCACATTCCATCCACGGGAGGCTGATTGTTCAGCATTGTATATAGAAGGAAACAATAGTGGAATCAGGTAAATTTAAATACTATGGAAAAAAACTAGAATATAATAGTAAAGTCATATGGTTCATACAGGACAAGAATAATTCAGCTCATTAAAATTAGAAATAGTTTCCATTTGATTTAAGCCTTCAATGGAGTAATTCTTTCTTTTCCTTTTCCTTTTTTTTTTTTTTGAGACAGTCTTACTTTGTTGCCCTTGGTAGAGTGCTGTGGTGTCATAGCTCACAGCAACCTCAAACTCTTGGGCTCAAGCAATTCTCTTGCCTCAGCTTCCCAAGTAGCTGGGATTACAGGTGCCCACTACAATGCCCAGCTATTTTTTTAGAGATGATGTCTCACTCTGGCTCAGGCTGGTGTCAACCTGTGAGCTCAGGTAATCCACCCACCTCGGCCTCCCAGAGTGCTAGGATTATAGGCGTGAGCCACCATGCCGGGCCCTGAAGTAATTAGTGAGAAAACAGCTTTAACACAAAGAGACGATGAAGTAACCCAGTTTCTCAAATTCTGATCATTTGCATACTACCCTTGAGATTTCTGCTGTATCTGTGTACCAGCTAATAATTTCTTTATGTCAATTTATTTATTAGCCTAAAATATTTTAAAAGAAAATATTACTACCTTAAATTTTAAAAAATGAAACATAACATATTCCATACATAGAAAGTAACTATAAAAATAAAAACAGTAAAACAAAAGACAAAGAATCTCATGGAGATTGCACTGCAGTGAAAAGCTCTGAACGGGAAGAAGCTTGATCTACTCCTCATTGCAAAGGAAGATTAACAACTGTTCGGCAGGTGTTAAAGACCTTTGAGTTCCAAACTAATCTTTCTCCAAAAAAGAATCAAAAGGATTGAAAGAGAACCTGGATGGAAGTAATTTTCTCATTATATGACTCAAGGCTATTTAATGCTGTGTTCCCATCCTCTTGCAGACCACAGGGAATGTGTGCCAGACACTTGCAGACAATCAGAGGTAGCACACAGTGAGTCAGGAGAACATGGATCTTTTATGTGGGGAGGGAACTATGGGAAGCAGCCTCCAGGTTATTGGAGGCTGGTATTGTCAATATGGGACGCAGCCTCCAGGTTATTGGTGATTGATATTGTCACCCATTCAGTCATCTACTAACATGTGTTAGTCACCCCTCACGTATCAACAACTGTGTTGAGAGCTGGGATTGGTGGGAAGACTCTCACTCCAAGGAGAAGGCAAACTGAAGTGATGAAGGTAATTAAACCATAAAGCACTGTACTATAATAGAGGACTCAACCAACATGAAGTGCTAAACTAATAGGGACAGAATTAATTTTCAAGTCTCAAAAGGGCATCTATCCTTTCAGGATTTCTAGAAGGCTTATTGTCCATACAGGCTATCACTGATTTCTCATTTCCTTTGGTGAGGACCAGTTGAAAAATGGCCATAAAGAACAGAAACTTGAAAGGTACCTAAAGAAGGTACCTTTACCTTCTGCTACAATGTGGAAAGATTAAAATTAGAGTCAGAAAGAACATTAGAAATTTATCTGATTTTTTCATTTTGTAGGAAATAGAGGCCTATGATTTCTTAAAGACTAAATTGAGATTTAAATTGGACCTCCTGAAATCTAGTCCAGTATTCTTTGTGCTAAACCATATATAGGAAAAAGGCACCTTGAGAGTCAAACATACTCACATTTGTTCCAAAAGATTTTTTAAAAAACCTAGTGCATTCCCAATAATTAGGAACCAAAAAAAAAAAGTAAAAAACATAGAATTTCTTTCTTATAGGGTAGATAGTATAAATATCATATCTTTAAAAAAGGGGGGGGGGGTTTGAATCCAGAAGACCAAAAATCACTTTACAACAAAGATATTTGCACCAGAATATTTATTGCAGCTCAATTCCTAATTGCCAAGTCATGGAAGAAGCCCAAGTGCCCAATGAACCATGAATGGATTAATAAATTGTGATATGTGTATACCATGGAATATTATGCAGCCTTAAAAATATGGAGACTTGGGCAGCACCTGTGGCTCAGAGGAGTAGGGCTCCAGCCCCATATACTGGAGGTGGTGGGTTCAAATCTGGCCCTGCCCCCCCCCAAAAAAGATGGAGATTTTACCTCTTTTATGTTTACATGGATGGAGCTGGAACATATTCTTCTTAGTAAAGTATCTCAAGAATGGAAGAAAAAATATCCAATGTACTCAATACTATTATGAAACCAATATATAATCAGCCACACTTTCATATGAAAGATAAAACACAATTATAGCCTAGGATGAAGGAGGGAAATGGAGGGCGAGGGGAGGGAAGGGGGGAGGTTGGATGAAGGTAAAGTAATCACTGGGACCACACCTATGGTGCATATTACAAGGGTACATGTCAAATCTATTAAGAGTAGAGTATAAATGTCTTAACACAATAATTAAATGAGGTGAAGGCTACAGTTTGATGTAAGCATTCCAAATTGCATACAAAATCAGCACATTGTACCCCATAAATGCATTAATGTATACAGTTATGATTTAATAAAAAAAATTTAAAGAAAAGGTTGAAAGGGGGAACATTAAAAGACAAATATAACACATATTATGGCATCTAAGATAAACTTCTGTATGAGCCTTATTAGGGGACTTGTACTGAGAAACACTCATGGCTAACTCAGCATGAAAATATGAATGCCTTACCATGGTTATCAAAACAGCTTTAAAGGTGATCAGTGCAAAGGGTTTTCTTTAAAGGGCTTCAGTAAAAATTTATTTTTTCCTATACGCTTTGTTACCACTACATCAAAACTTTCTTTAAGCTTTAGTAGCTTAGAGACAAGGGAAAGCCTTGAGTAATTTCCAGATATTCCTAGCCTTTATGAATAGATAATTAATGTTATTGCCTCTTTCCTTCTAATACTTTGGTATTGGTTTTGAAACTCTGTATAAGAAAATTTACAGTATTCTCCATTTTCCAAATGTTATTGCCTCTTTCCTTCTAATACAGTATTATAAGGAAAATTTACAGTATTCTCCATTTTCCAAATGTTATTGCCTCTTTCCTTCTAATACAGTATTAGAAGGAAAATTTACAGTATTCTCCATTTTCCAAAGTTGATAATTTCTAGTATTATAAAATCCTGTTCCCCTCCAGGGCTCCCTGCCTTCCCCCATTCCCCCACCCTTCGGGCAACCTCCTGACCTCTTCCTGTTCTCCCGCCCTTCTGCCTTACAGGCCTTCCCAGCCCATTCCCATGTTCTCCAGAATTCAAAGAGGCACGGAAAGTCTCAAGTTTCACAAACCCCCCAAGTTCTCAGTAGATGAACAACAGTGGAAAACTCGCCAAGGCTTGCTCAGTAGATAAACAATGGTGAAAAACTCACCGAGGCTTGATTAATTACTGTTGTATAACCATAACCATTGTGATATGAGATGTATCCATTGACAACCAAGCTGTAACCCTGCCAATGGCAACGTTCCTCATCCCTTCCTGCTTGCTTAAGCTATGCAGAGAAAAAAAGGTATAAAAGACAAAAAACCCTGCATTTCTGGGCTGCTTGTCTTAGAACAACAGCCCCCTATGCAGGTGTGAATAAATCACCAATTAATAGCATCTGAGTGGGTCTGAGTTTATTTTTTCACAACCCCAAGGTTATTTCACTAGCATATTGGTTAAGGAGGAAAGCCAAGAATATTATTTTTTTGAACTTCACCCATAGAATATCAGCAGGATTACCCTGGGGCATGGACCTTGGGAGTGAAAGAGAGTAGTTTTTGTAAAATAAGCATATTTCTGAATTCTTCTATATAGGATCCATGAATATCTGGATATGTATCATGTTTTCAGCTGTACTGAGAATAGGTACCCAGAAAAGGTGAGGTCTAAAAGAACCGAGGTCTTCTTAAGGAGACCCCAAGGATACATCTGCAAGGTCCTCCCCATGGTGACTCAGCTCTTAGAAACTTGTAGAAACTTAACTTCCTGGGACCTGGAAAATAATGCTTCCAATTCTATAAAAGCCCAGGGTTATGTAAAAGCTGGAGCCAACTTCTCCAGCTTGATTCAAACTGACTGATGAAAAAGGTACCCATGAGCAAAAACTTTTTGACTAGGGATAAAAAGGAGAAGACTGAGCCAGTCGGGGAGTGGGGAAGAATTTTGAATTCTTCCATGCCATCACTCTGCTGGCTGAAATAAAGCCCCTCTTCTTTTATACACAGTGTTTGGGTGTTTGCTCTCTCCACTGGGTTTCATTTTCCTCCAACAGTATTGTCTTCGTAGTCCTTCCTGTTCTTAGCCAGTAAATACTGTTTCACATTCTAAACTTATGTTTTATATAGAACTCTAACCATTTAGAGTTCAGTTGCATTAAAGATTTCCCCTAGAGAATCTAAAAGGTATTACCTTGAAAGGAAAAAAATACATATCATCCTTGGCCAGGTGTGGTGGCTCGCACCTGTAATCCTAGCTCTCTGGGAGGCCAAGGTGGTGGATCACTTCAGCTCAGGAGTTTTGAGAACAGACTCAGCAAGAGCAAGACCCATCTCTACTAAAAATAGAAAAACTGAGGCAAGAGGATTGCTTGAGACCAAGAACTTAAGGTTGCTGTGAGCTATTATGCCACAGCATTCTAGTTAGAGGGCATCAGAGTGAGACTCTGTCTAAAAAATATATAAAATAAATAAATATATGTTTTTTTGCTTGAGAAATTTTTAAAAATCAAACCAGGTAAGCAGTCAACTCAGTTTACAATAACATGCTAAGCCAATCACTTTGGTCCTTCCATGAGAATGAAGGCTAATAAAATATAACATACCTGTGAAGCTTCAGAGTGACAGTTCCATACACAGTAGCAAAACCGAGAAGACGGACCCATCTTAGCAGAATACAGCGAAATGTGCTTGGCTCAAAGTACAAAATAACAACCTGTGGGATGACAACAGAGAGAAAGAGACCTTCAGGATCAACTAATAACCCACAGAGTAAAGTCAATATTTCATAATCTGATATTATATATATATGAATTTTGATATAAGCACATACCCATTTGAATAATTCTTTAAAATGTTATTTTGATCATTCATTCATTGTCTAGATCAGCGGTTCTCAACCTGTGGGTTGTGACCCCTTTGTAACAATGAAAATACATCTTGCCATTAGATATTTACATTATGATTCATAACAGCAGCAAAATTACAGTTATGAAGTAGCAATGAAAATAATTTCATGGTTGGGGGTCACAACATGAGGAACTGTATCAAAGGGTTGTGGCATTAGGAGGCATTAGGAAGATGGAGAACCACTGGTCTAGATCAAAGGACTACAGAGTCTTTCTACTGCTTTTAAACAAATCTAAATTCTTTAAATCTAACTTTTAGGAGTTTCTATCAACTGTCTCTAAATCTTTGGCTTATCCAAACTTGTGTCCCTTTATTTAAATGACCTCAGTAAGTCCTCCCTTCTCACTCCAACTCTCATTCAACAAATGTTACTTAAGCATTAACCCGGAGCCAGACGCTGTGCTAGGTGCTGCTGGTACAAGATACACAGGCCAGCCAGTAAGAAGGAGAAGAGAGACATGCGAATAAGAAATCACATTCAGGTAACAGAGCTGTTGCCATAGTATCTCTGTAGTTTCAGTGTGACCAGAAGGGAAAAAGTGGCCAGAAGCAAAGCCACTCTACTTCCTTTCATATGTCACTGTGTGTTTCTGAGCAAGTCCTTACAGAATAAGAATTGGTTTAACACTGCTTAGGAAACTTTGTATAGTGTTAAAGGATTAATGCTTGTAAAACACACACATTAAGCAAGGTCATCATAATAGATAATATACCTACTGCCAAAATACTGAGTATTACCTTTGGTTTTATGTACCAGAGATGTGCATATTGCTGGGGGTTAGGGTGCTGACATTTTCTTGCTAACATTTTCCAAATGGAGCCCCTCCCTCTAGTATTAGGAAGAATGATATTACCTAAACTCTCTCCTGGTATTTCTCAAATATTGCTACTATATAAAGATATTAAACTAGGATTAAATTCTCAAAGTGTTTAAAAATTGGCATGGACAGGAGATAACATTGTTTTATATGCTCTTGAAGTCAAGTAAAGACTATTCAACTTTATTCTTTTACTTATAGATAGCATTTGCCCTTAATTTTCCAATTTACTTGATGAGTGATGAAGATACAGATAAAGGTTTGCCTTTAGAATTTAATCTACCAAAAAAAGTTGAGATTAAGAAAAAAAAAAGCATTGTTTAGTCTTTTCACAAAACCAGTTAAAATTCTATAAATTTGTATTCTAAGTTTTAGCTCGGACATTTTAGACACATTTATCTTGCAAAATTATGAGTTCTGTAAAACACATTTTGTTCATTGAAATTTAAGCGGAAAAAAGAAAGGAAAACTTAGGGGGAAAAGACATGCAGAGAAAAACTAGTAGAAGATTAGCAAATTGGGGGAGCCTATGTGTTCCTTCTCATAGCAGAAAGAGTAACAGATTACAGAGTAGAGATATAAGGATCTAAAGTCTAGAATATATAAAATCTCAAATATTTCTATTAGAAATGGCCTTAGAAATTATTCTGGAACAGTAGATTCCTGGGGACTGCAAAATCCTGTGAGTAAAGCTTTCCATTATCCACTAAGCTTTCTCCAGGTAAAGAATGAGCAAAGGTCAACAACTATATAATACAGTAGTCTGTAGTCTGTATAATGTTTCTATTTGAAAATAAATAATTACTTGTGAACCATCAGGAACTACTGATATGCCTTGAAACTTTTATTTTACAGAGGAAGAAGTTCAGGACTTATTACTATAAGTGAAAGGTTGAATTGGCAAGAAATTAATAAAAAAAATAGTCATTTATTTTGTTAGCATCTATAGATGAGGTAAAAGTTTAAAGTAGAAAATAAAATTCTAGAAAACTTAATAAAATGTGTTATTAGAAACAGCTCAGCACATGGTGAGCTGGAAACTCCAGAAGCAATGCCACTGGCCAGGGAGAGCCCAGGCTCTGAATCCAGCCCCCCTGGGTTTTGATTCTGGTTCTATTCTGTATTGGGTGTATGACTCTGACATTTACTTAACACTGCCTCGTTATGCCTCAGTTGTCCCATTTGTAAAATGGACACAACAACATTTCCTCCGGGAATACTTTGAAGTTGAAATGTAGCAGTGTAATTATTGGCCAATAATACTACAACAGTTTATTTACCTATATTTTGTTCTAAAAGTCACCATTCTCATTGCAATATAATTATATTTCATTATCTCAATGAACTGCTTTTTGATCATCCCAGCCACTCCTTTTGAATTCCTACAATCACTTTTTGTGTTTTAGGGTTTCTTTTACAGGCTTTTTTTTTTTTTTTTTAATTTCAGGTTAATGTAAGGGTACAATTAGGTTACAATGTTTGCATTTGTTATAGAGTCCCTCTTGTAGTTGTATCCTGCACCCAAGAGGTGTACTACTATCAGTTTTTATTTTTTATTTTTATTTTTTTTTTGAGACAGTCTCACTTTGTCACCCTCAGTAAAGTGCTATCGTGTCATAGCTCACAGCAACCTCCAACTCTTGGGTTCAAGCGATTCTCTTGCCTCAGCCTCCCAAGTAGCTGGGACTACAGGCACCCACCACAACGCCCAGCTATTTTTAGAGACGGGGTCTCTGCTCTTGTTCAAGTTGGTCTCAAATCTGTGAACTCAGATCCACCCACTTTGGCCTCCCACAATGCTAGGATTACAGGCATAAGCCACTGCGCCCGGCCCTACAATCACTTTTTCACTATATGTTTTTTCTACTATATCTCATGTTGCAGTTATCTGTATAGGTGTCTCTCTGACTCAAGTGTAAAAGTGGAAAGGCATGCTGCTCTACACATTCTGTGTGCTTTACAAAAAGAAAATTGATATATATTATTTTCTCAGTGATCTATTTTACCAAATTTTAAAAAGAAAATGTTATCTTCAAAATATTTAAAGCTCTGATTAGGATTCACTAATTACTGTTATTCTAATTTGCAAATTCATATCTGTTTACTCTGTCAGAGGCAATAGGGGTTTGGAAGCCATAAATCAGGTGTGGATCAGGTCTGTCAAGAAGTTATAACTTAGTAGAGTGGATATTACATGTAAATGATAAAAATAATGGCATAATCATACAAATATTTCTGTAGCACTTATTACATGCTAGAACTAAAGCATTTTTGCATATATTTACTCATTTAATCCTTACAGTATCTTAGAAGTAAGGACTTTTATTTTACAGGAGGAATGAGGCAGAGAATTTAAATAATGTGCCCAGGGTCACAAAGACAGAAAGTGTCAGAGCCTGGATTTGGATCCCAGGCACTTCAGTTCCAGAGATGATGCTCATTAAGACCATGCTGTCTTGCCTCTGTAATTGGCTCTACTAAGTGGGTGAACTGCATTATACTGAGGCTTCAAAAAAAAGGGAATTTATATGCAGTGGAAATAAGTGAAATTATCCTGGGAGGGCTGAATCTGAAAAAGAATCAGAGGAGGAACAGGTTTAAGTATGCAGGTATGCAGGCAAACAGGAAAAGGGGACAAGACAAGACAACTGCAGGCTGTGGGAAAGTTTGGAGTATGGAGGGTAAGGTTACAACCAAGAGGACATACAGAAGAGAACTGAAAGGAAAGCTCTAAAATAGAGATAGGGCAAGATCATTGTAAACTTTGAATAATAGCATGAAGAATTCAGATTTTATTCCAGAAGCACCAGACATGCCGCTGAAATTCTTTGTGCTGAGATCAGAAGTGTATATGGGGGCATTCATCTGGCACCGGCTGGAAAAGATTGGCTGGACTCCAGTTCTGAATCCACAGTAGTGCTTGGATTTAAACTGCAGAAAATAACAAGAACTTATTGCAGCTTTACATTTTTGCAATTCCTACACACGAGAGGGGATATGATTGTGATTACATGTCTTTGTACAACCCTGACCTAGAACGTATTACTTAGTACTTAGCTGTTACTGCCAAACAACAAAAAATGAATAAATTAATAGACTAAATATATAAAATATAAAAGATTACTTGGAATGTGCTCAATACATCCTCTCTGAAATTCCCAATAGAATATACTCAAAATGGAAAAAGAAATTGAAAAGGCGTCATAGGTCTAAAAATTAAGGGCAAAGGAGAAAAGATCCCTCAAATTTTAGTGGTGATTCTATCTGCTGCTTGGCAGATCTTACTGAAATAAAAAATACCATTTAAATAATATACCACAAGGTTGGGCATGGTGGTTCATGCCTGTAATCCTAACACCTAGGGAGACTGATGCAGGTAGACTGCTCAAGCTTAGGAGTTTGAGACCAGCCTGAGCACGAGGAAGACCCCATCTCTACTAAAAGTGGATACACTAGCCTGGCATTGTGGTGGACACCTGTAGTCCCCGCCACTTAAGAGGCTGAGGCAAGGATCACTTGAGCCTATGAGTTTGAAGTTGCTGTGGACTATGACACTACAGCATTCTACCCAGGGTGACAGAGTGAGACTTGGTCTCAATAATAATAATCTACCACATGTCTCACTCTCTGAGCCAGAATAAGATCTGAAATTCCAGAGGTAACAGTTAAAGATTTTTATTCATACTCCTCATCAGGGTCTAAACTGTGAGACCCATAGATTTTTACTAAACAAGAGAGACAAGTTAAAAAAAACCCTAGTCATGCCACAACTGTTTCTACATCAGCCCATCGTCTGTTCCTAGGTCAGAGTGACCACAATGAAGCAGGAGCTGGAGTCTGCAGAGCACACTGCGACTGCACCTGTGAACAGCCATAGCACTCAGCCTTAGCAACATAGCAAGACTCTGTCTCAAGTAGAAAAAATAAAAACAAAAAACAAAAAAACCTAAAAACCTTATGTGTGCAGATGAGTATACGTGCACACAAA